TGCTGCTGCGCTGGACCCCAATCGAAATCTACGCCCTTCCGAAGTAGGTCGGTCAGTGAACTAGCGATCGATGCGTAACCCTGAACGAAACGACGGTAGTAATTGGCGAATCCGAGAAAGCTCTGCAAGTCCTTGACTGAGGTCGGTGCTACCCAATCCTGTACTGCTGCGATCTTCTTCGGGTCGGTCCTAATGCCACTAGCGGATACGACATGGCCTAGAAACTCGACCTCTGGAAGGAAGAACTCGCACTTCGACTGCTTCGCGTACAACTGCTCCCTCCGTAAGACCTCGAAGACCTTCTGCAAGTGCTGCACGTGCTCCTCTTTCGTCTTTGAGAAGATCAAGATGTCGTCTAGGTAAACCACGACGAACGAACCTAGGAACTCGGAGAGGACAGTGTTCATGAGCGTCTGAAACGTCGTTGGGGCGTTGGCCAAACCGAACGGAAGAACCCTAAACTCGTACAACCCCTGCTTCGTACGAAACGCCATCTTGTGCTGGTCCTCCGGAACTACGCGAATTTGGTGGTAACCCGAACGGAGGTCGATCTTTGAGAAGACTCTAGCGCCCTGCACTGCATCGAGAAGATCCTCTACTCTCGGAACTGGGAATCTATTCTTGACGGTGGCGGCGTTCAGTGCGCGGTAATCTATGCACATCCGTAACCCTCCGTCTTTCTTAGGCGCGAAAAGGATCGGTGCTGCCCAATGCAATCTAGATGGCTGTATGAAACCCTGCGCGAGAAAGTGCCTAACCTGCTGCGTCATCTCCTCTGTCTCCGCTGGACTCAACCTCCACTGCGGCTTCGCTACTGGTCTGCTTCCCGGCTCCAACTCTATCCGATGATCTACTGCTCGGCTGGGAGGCAACCCTGGGGGCAACTCGTCGGGGAAGACGTCTGCGAACTCTGCTAACAGTGCACTCACCTCAGCAGGAAGAGTCGCCTTCTCACCAACTGCTGCACTCCCTCCTTTCCCCTCCTCAGCTTCCAGCTCCTCAAGGAAAACCGCAAAGATCTGCGCCGCACGCTTCACCAACTGTCGCACACGAACAGCATTAATGATAGCTGTGGAGGATGTGGCCGCATCGCTCCACTGTGGCAGCTCCCGGAACTCGCCATCTACCTTGACGCTGCAGCTTCCCTGAGCCCATTCGAACTGAGTGTTAACCGTCCATAGCCAATCCCTACCGAAGATGAAGTCGTAACCGTCCAGCGTCGCAGAATCGAAATCACGCATAACCGTGATTGGTCTTAGCACTACGCGCAACTTGCGAATGACTGGTCCTATGTGAAGTGGCGTCCCATCTACCATGCGAGCGTCCTTGAAGTTGACTGCCGAATCTGCCTCGAGATGGAGACGACTAACTAATGAAGACGAAACGAACGAGTGGTTAGCTCCGCTATCGATGAGAATCTTGACTGGAACACCGCGAAGCTTCCTTAGAAGCACGACTGGACGATCAACAGTGTCGACCTCGTTCGGCGTAGATGACTGCTCTAAGGCCGTCTCCTCTACGTTGGTAGACGTGGCGGGTTCGGAAGCGTCCACACCAGCTAGCGACCCGCTATCTACTGGCGGTTTCCGTTTCCCTGCTGCCGCTCCTTAAGCTGTGGGCAGTCCCGCTTCATGTGTCCCGGCTTTTTGCAGTAGTGACAATTCCCCCTAAATCCCGTTCTCTGTGAGCCGTCACTGTTAACTGCACCAATCTCCATGGGCGATGGTCCGTCCCTCGATCGAGTATCGGTGATCGGTTTGTATCCCCTATCGCGATCGTCACGACCCCGTCGGCTTCATACTTCGTCGACGCGTTCTGCTGCTGCGACTGCCGACTCGAAGGTGGACAATCCGTGAATCGCTATGATCTCCGCTATGTCCGGCTTCAACCCTTCGAGGTAGCGATCGCGCATCTCTGCTTCCGTGATATCGTCTATCTCGTTGCAGATGCTGAAGAACCGTCGTGTGTACTCCTGGACGTTTCCTATCTGTCGGAAATGACGCAGACGCTTCCTAGCAGCTTCGGAGGCATTCACCAAGTCGAACCTACTCTTCAGCGCCGCTTCAAATCCTTCCCATGTCGTCGGAACCGTGGTAACACCCAAAGCTAAACTCCCTAAGCTCGAAGTTGCAGCTGCATGCCCCTCACCCTGTTGATGCCTGTCCAAATGAGCCCTTCTTACAGCAGTTTGCGTGAGTTGGCGCCACCACTCCAAGGCCGGGCCCCTCAGCAGCGTAACGGAGTACTCGATCCGCTGCTGCGCGTCCGCCTCTTGCACCCCGCTCGCGGCGAAGTAGTTGTTCAGCATGTAGATACACGTCCGCACGTTCGCGTCGCGTTGACTTGGGTCGAACGGCTCGGGCTTCTGCGGCTTGAGCGCGCTTCGACGTTCCGGCAGCGCTTCCGCGCCAGTCGACGTGTTGGGTGCAGGGGATGGCGCGGCATGACCATGAGAAATTGACGCGAATTCACGAAGCTGTTGCATTTCAGCCCGTACCTGACGATTTTCCAGCGTCAACGTTTCGAGTTGGCGCATGAGCTGAGCAAGCGTGTTGCCCATGTCGTTGGGGAGAGCGGTCATGGTTTCACCCATGTCGGCTCGACGACTCCAAGTCTGCAAGTCGGCACCGCGGGACGATGACGTCGTAGTCTCGTCGTCGACGGTCGCTCGTTGGAAGTCGCTCCCCGCGAAGGCTCCTGACACCAAGTGTTAGGCCCCTTGGCCTAAATCCGCGAAGGAATAGCGGGGTTGACTAAATTGAAGATAAACGCGGCGGAAGACTTTGGCGAAATAGAGTGTTGGCGAAATAGGCGAAGAGGTAACTGAGTAATTGAAGAGTTGAATGAGAATTGATTGATATTGGGGAATACAAGCAAGGTTGATATAGCATGCAAAGTCGAATGTCGGAAATTACTTCGTGGGACTAGAATTGTAAGGCAAGAAGAGTAGAGTGCCACGTGGCACTAGGAAATCTGGAAAGATAGGATGATGATAAGGTTGGGAAGTACTGTTCTGGATGAACAGTAAACCCCCCTGTAACACTGACAAGTACATTTCTTGCACGCAGCGTCACCGTGACTCTTGCTGACCACGGTTCCTCCATTATCCATCTTGTGGCGACGAGTTTCCCGCCATTTCTTCTTCGTCGTGAGGCCCGTAACCTGCCATACCGAATCAGACCAAACCAAACCACCCTCCACATCGAACTCGGGCTTGAGTTCAGATAATCAGCATGTACTGAGTAAAGTGGTTCTTGAAACCAACTGCTTCAATCAAGCGGCTCTCCTTTGTCCTTCAGCTTGAGCAGGCCCGGGCTGTGTGTCGTCGTTCCCAGATTCGTCTTACTAGCGCTCCCGACCTGCTGGCATCCAAAGCCACCCTGCCCTCAGTTGCTGACTTTGTCTACTTAGGCCCGGACGGTTGAGGACCCCTAGTTGCTTTGATTTCTCTAGGAACCTCTCAAGTTACCTCTTGTACATATGATGCTTGATTGTAAATAGTGGTTCTTTCAGTAATGGTAGCCTGCAGTCCACTATAGCTTTTGGCCTGCCAGCTTGGTAGGAATCGGTTTCTCATTAGCCATTAATAAATCGTTTCGTCGCTTGCGTCGTGGTTCGGCGATTTCTTTTTAGCATCAACTTAGTCTTTTCGGCTGAATCGCCGACCAACGCCATCACCGAGATGACGTCACCAGCGGATACCGAGGATATCGAGCGGCGAAAGCTGGAATTATGTTGGGAATCCCTTCTGTACCATTGTTCGGACAACGAAATTCTGACGGAGATCGCCAAGATAGCCAGGCCGCCTAACGACAACATGGTGATAAAACAGATGTATATGCTGCGAGCCATGGAGTATCGCCTGAACACGAGGGGAGTTACGGAAAGAGTTCTCGACGTTATCCAGCGGCTCGAGAGACTCTCATACGACGAAGATTACGCTCGAAGCTGCCAGGAACCCCACCACAAAGAACGCGTGCCTGGCGTTTCTGCTCCTGATAAAGAATTATCTACTAGCGAGGACGGATTGGCACCTGCTGTGGATTATTTCCAGCAAAGGGAGCCTGTACCACCACCAGGGCCAAAAATTGTGCTTGAGGTTATGACAGCCGTTGCGGTTCGGTTTCTTGGCGGGAAACCATGGGAGGTTTGTGAGTACCGTGACGTTTTAAAAAATGTTTGGTCCGGCACTGGTGACGAATCAGAGGATGATGACGTGGACGCATCAGCAGTAGGAAAAGAGTTGAATCACTTGCAGCAGCTAAAGGCTCGACGGAAGGAGCTATTGGCTGCTAGGAATGACCCGAGCCTGCAGGATAGGCTTGTACAGAAGTACCCTGTTGCCGAGGCTGCCAAGTTGGTTCGGAGGTACATGGATGATTCGTGGGCTCGGTTCGGGCGGCCGTGTTTGGACGGGATCGCAGAGCAAGTGCTGCAAGGGAATGTGATAATGAGGAGGGATGCTGTTGTGCTAGAAGAAAGAGAGGGTAGTGCTGGTGGCGGTGGTGGTGATGCCGGTGATGGGGGTGATGGTGGTGGGTTGAATGGAGATGGTGGTGGAATTTTTGGTGTTACTACCACCATCAATGGTGGGGTTGAACGTGACACTGAAGCCGGGTGCCCTAAAGGATATGTGACTGTGGCCGCGCGTGATCTTATCAGGAGCTGGTTCCCTGAAGGTCTGGACCGAGGTCAGTTCAGTGCATCTTGCCCCTGTCTGTTTGTATCGGAACTCCACATTTTTGGGACCATTTCTAGCTTATGTTGTTTTACTCGGATCCTTATACTGATTCTTCTCTGTGTGTCTTCCAGGGGCCCGTCAACATCAGGAACCGAGGGAGGAGCAGCAACAGCAGGAGCAGGCGCAGCGGAAACAGGGGCAGTCACAAGAGCAGCAGGGGCAACAGAAGCAGCGGCAGCAGCAATTCTCCCTAGCAGAGGATGATGAAGAAGCAGCACCTGCAGCCGCCGCTGGTGCTGTCAATGGGGATGCGGAGCAGATGGTTCGTGAGTTGCGTGAGAGCAGTGCGAGACTGAAAGCGGTAGGGCAAGACCCGCTGCCTGACGCGCTGCGATTCGCCGAGGCTGCCAAAGCTCAGGTCCGGGATCAGGCCCGGGGTAAGGCAGGGGGTCAGGCTAGGAATGGTAGCTTGGGGGAAGAGAGGGAAGACGTCCAGGGTGGTAGAGTGAGAGGGGGGCGAAGGAAGGAGAGGGTGGGTTTGGAACAGGTGAGGGAGGAGGAGGAGGAAGAGGAGGGTGAGGAGGACAGGAGGACGAGTGAAGCGGGTATCAGGAGGAAATGGAAGAAAAAGGTGGAAGTAGGGGGAAGGAGAATAGCTAGTGAGACTGGGTTGGAAGTTCTGGGAAAAAGAGAGGGTGAGAGACGAAGGCGTGGTGAAGATGGGAGCGAGGAGGATGGAGAGGGAAGGGAGGGGGGTGGAAGGAGGAGGAGGATGATGGACCCTCAACCAACCGCACGCATTCTAGAGGTATGACACACCACATACATTTCCTCCTCACTTTAAGCAAGCCGTTGTGTCTGAACAGGGATGCACCATTCCCATGTTCCAAACCCATGCACCATCCTCATATGCTCGTCCCGTGCAGTGGTCTGACGATGACGGGGAGTTGGAAGAGATTCCAGAGCCAGTTCAACCCCAAGGCCCCAACGACCGGCATGGCCGTACCAGTATGCCCGCCACAGTGCACCTACGCACGCCCTCCGCCCCCCGCCTCTCCCCTCTCAACCTGCATGCTGCTGCTGCTTCTCCCGGTGCTGCTGGTGGCGCTGCTGCTAGGGGTGGGAAGCTGAGGAGGCCCAAGCGGCCGTTCAGTGCGGAGGAGACAGACACACTCAAGATTGGCGTCATGAGGTGAGACTAGCTTGGGGTGAAGGGGGTGGAGCTGTGGACCCGACTGGGAAGCTGAGGAGGCCCAAACGGCCGTTAAGTGCAAAGGAGACAGACACACTCAAAATGGCTTCATGAGGTGAGGCAGCTTGAGGGTGCGGCTTGAGGCGCTGCCTATTTGAGGTGGCACAGATCCTCAGGCACTGTGGATATCGTCTCACCCACCAGTTGCTGTGAACCCGACTGGCAAGTTGAGGAGACTTAAGCGGCCGTTTAGTGCAGAGGAAACAGACACACTCAAGATTGGCGTCATGAGGTGAGGCAGCTTGAGGTGAGGCGGGGGGGAGCTGTGGACCCGGCTGGGAAGGTGAGGCGACCCAAGCGGCCGTTTAGTGCAGAGGAGACAGACACACTCAAGATTGGCGTCATGAGGTGAGGCTTGAGGTGAGGATGGAGCCGCTGCCTGAGGCACTGCATGCTGCCTGAAGTTCTGATCTGGTTGGAAAATCGTCTCAGCATATGCTGTGAGTGTGTGGTTCTGGCTGGGGAATTGGGTGCTCTCTTCCTGTTCTGTTGTTTTCCTCGTTTTCCCTGTCCGTTTTTTTCTCTCACTGGGTCATTGATGTCTTGTTTGCTTTGTAACACCTGTCTGTCCCTGGTGCGTGCTATGCATGGCATGGCATGGCATGGCAGGTTTGGCAAGTCGTGGAGTCAGATCATGCACGAATACGCCGATGTCTTTGCAGGCCGGACTCAGGCAAGTGACCCAACCCATACCTGCTTGATTCATTGCATTTTGCGCGTCTTGAATTTCTCCAGCATGTTCACATTAAAGCCCGCATGATAGGTTGCCAGGTCGGGGTTTCAAACGCAATGCGTTTGAAACTGGGGGGGCTGTGCCTTGAACGGCTTGTGGCCTACCATGGATGCGCAACCATTTATCTCAATGGTTTCCTATAACATGTTGCTGTTTGACTCATTTGTATATCAATGCTTTGTGTCTAGCATTGACGCTTTATTTGTTATGTTCGTGTAATAATAATGTCGCCGCATTTTGACCTTTTGCAGGTTGATCTTAAGGACAAGTACCGGAACCTAGAAAGGGCTGGTGAGGTTTAGAAAATATGCAATTGCTGGTTAAACAAAGTATTTTCACATTAGTATTTAGTACTGTATGTTTAGTTTGTGAATACTAGTGATGCTGTAGTTTCAAAAATGTTGTTTTCATACAAAAAAACATGTTCCAAACATGAATTGTTTTCCTACAAGAAAACATCTCCAAGCATGAATGATTCGTAAATAGTAATGTTGCAGTTGTGCAATTTGTTCCAAACATGAATTGATTATGGGCGCCGCTCACGCTATCCAGCCCGCAACTACCTTCAGATAGCAAGTCTGGGCGAAATCATTTGTCGCTTCCCCACCCTACGTTCCGCATTCAGGTGATCATCGCGCGAACAGCCCGTAACAGTAATCCCATGTTCACAAAGTTTCACCTGAAAAGAACCTGCATGCTCACATCGCCTCAGAGTTTGTTACAAGGTCCGTGAGACCGTTGCATCCAGGTTAGGATACCTTCAGCTTCGTACTTGTCGTTCATCCGCTCAGGTGGTTTTAGCAACACGATGACGCTTCTCACCCAGAATTCCCCCCACCACCAATGTTCCGTGTCCCATCCCGAGCAACGTCGTCTCTGTCAGGCGGAACGGCAGCAGCACCAGCAGCAGAGACCGAACCTGTTTCCACCGAACCTGTCGTCTCTTTTATCTCCACACCCGACAGCATTCCCAGATGTGTCCAGCAGCAGCAATCAGCCTCTTGTAGCTTCATAGCTCCCATCCCTTTCCATCAGCTCCAATTCAAGACAGCTTGCTCCAACCGATAGACTCCTAGAGCAAGCTTTTCGCAATGGCGCGTTTGTCCATCCTAGTATGCCTTGCCCTCTTCGCCACCGTCGCATACGCCGATGTGTGCCCTAAGTTCGTGTGCGGCCCGGGTAACTTCTTGTATGGCAAGTTCACCGACCCTAAGGACCCCTACAAGGAGCCTGCCGACCCCCTGTTCGAGGCTTACTTCACCCCCGGCCAGATGTACAACTACGCTAAGGACAATGTCACTGACGACAAGATCGAGACTCCCCAGCTTGATTGCTACAAGGTCTGCGACTCGTACAACATGAAGCTGCCCAGCAACTTCAACTCGGCCAACAAGGCAAAGTACTGGATGTTTGAGGAGACTTGCCTCGAGGGTACCGGCGGTATTTGCACGTGCTACAACAAGCTCCAGTGCAAGGACGACAAGAGCTACAGCGCCAAGTGGATGGAGCCCGCACGCGGCGTCGGCACTGTCGACTACGAGGTTCCCGCTAACTTCACCGTCGGCGAGCTTTGCGACGGCAACAACAAGGGTGACCCCCATTTCACCGGCGCTGATGGCTCCCACTTCGACTTCTCCGGCAAGCCCAACCGCAACTACGCTCTCATCTCCGACCCTCACTTCCAAATGAACGGCTTCTTCGGCGGCCGCTATTCGCGTTGGAACGGCGACATCAAGTCCCTCACGTGGATCCGGTCCGTCGGTATCATGGCCGGCCACCACACCCTCGTCCTCGAGGCGCGCCGCGGTGCCGACGCCGAGTACCTCAACGGCTACCTCGCCCGCGTCGTTGTTGACGGTGTCCCGGTCGAGATCACCGTTCCCGGCACCACCGTCGAGCTTTGGGAGGGCGCCACTCTCCGGTGGGAGGCGGCTCGCGAGCTGAGCGGAACCGATCTTGTTGACGTGTACGATGTGAAGATCGGCAACGTTGCCACCATCCGCCTGACCCTCAGGCCCGAGGTCAAGAACCTGCGCACCGCCACCGATGGAGCGGTTCACTTCGGTTTGGATGTGCTGTCGTCGTCCTTCTCCAAGGCCGTGCACGGTGTTCTTGGCCAGACCTTCCGCCCCGACTTCTCCGGTCGACTGTAAGCCCGCTCTCCCTTCCTACCTCAGTTTAATCTCGCTTTCCTTTCGGTACTTTTGGTGATATTTTCGCCGCGGTTTTGTCTCGCGCTTGTCTCACGGTTTCCCTCTCTTGTGTGTCGTTCCAGTGCCCAGCAGAAGCTGCAGTGGAGCGACCTCCTCGGTGTGATGGTTGTTCCCGGTGACAACGCTGAGGGTTTCATCGACGGCGGCATGGACGACTACGAGGTGTCCGATCTGCTAAAGAACGACTGCAAGTTCTGCCGCTTCCAGCGCGCCGAGTCGATCGACGATGAGATGTCGATCGCCATGAACATGATGGGCTCGGCGGTCGGCGGTGGCCTCCCCGCTGCCCCCCGCAAGTTCCTCGACACGTACTAAATGATTATTACGCGGTGTGATACGGTGTACTCTTGCTTAGCTTTCTGTTGGGAGTGCTTCTCCGTTGCTGTACTATAATGTGGCGGCTTTGTCAATGACCCGCCGGATATTGTGCTTTCGTCATTCCAGGTTTATTTCAATTTAATCAATTTCGTTATTTTAAACCAATAATTTTCACTAGCATCGTTAGTGTGGGCGGTGTTGGACAGCGTTTCGCGCAATAGTCCGCTCCTCTCGACGCTTGCCGTTATGAACATCATATTTTGCATCCAAGAACGGACATAAGACGCTTGGTATCGTTCACATTCAAGCTACGCCACTCATCCTGAGAGGTTGGACGAATCCAAGGTGTGGCGATGCAGCGCAGTAAAGCGTGCAGAGCTCTCGTTATCAGGGTAAAACACCCTGATTGCCCTGACTGGCAGCCGCTTTTTTTCAGTTACCCTTTCCCAGGAAGGGTAGAGGGATTGTTACCCTAGGCCAGAAAGTGTAAGTTTTTTTTAACCCTTTGAAAAACAGGGTAATGGATATATTTCTCTGACTGTATAGGGTACGATCACAACTATACTGATACCGAATACCCCGTAGCGAGGTGAAACACAATTCGAGCCCCTGCAAAATTCTCCCAACAGCGAGAATCGGATAAGCTACCTTACAGATTCTAAGCCATAACTGTACCAACTGAGCCACTAAGTGTTGAACTGAATTACTTTGTTTTATATTTATAGATTAAAAAACGTGACAAAGTTACCCTGTCCAAACAGACTATTAGTTTTTTTACCCTGAATTTGTCAAGGAACGGAAAAAAATACCCTATGCATCAGGGTTGGGACTACCTAGAACCCTGATTAGGAAGGGTGGCCCAAAACCAATCGAGAGCCCTGAAAGCGTGGTTAATCAATGCCATCTCTAACACCTGCCTTTCTTGTGTCTTCAAGCTATACGCATGCTGTGCTGCGCACGCATACAACCAACCACTTCGCCTCTCGGCTTGTATCCTTGTGTAGTTGGGATTTGAACGGTGCAAAGGGGTGGTTCGCTTGGTTGGTAGCGCGAGTCTGGGGAGGAGGGGAGGGGAGAGGGGGTGTTTGGTCAGTGGCAGGTGCAAGGGTTACGGGAGGGAATGGCTGGTTGCAAATGGCTAAAAGTACTTGCTGTGAGTTGGGCTGTGAGGGGTTTTGAGGGATATGGGCTGTGGTGTGACGGGTGTGGTGCAAGGAGGGCTTGGAGGGGACTAGGGGAGAGCCCAATATTGGGAAGACTCAACACCGTCCTACCTTGCCAAGTTGACATGAACGTAAGGCATGTTCTGACAAACTGCAGTACACATGATGCCCGTTTGAGCCACTCCCGGTTGCCTTGTAAAGGGGGCTTATAAGCTGTAACCCGCATTTCGCCTAAATTTCGTCGATTCGCAGCTAGCAAAAAAGGATTCGTCAGGTGCTTATAAAACTTTTGTAACCTATCCGTTGACATTTTGACTTCAGTCTCTTCAGTGTGACTTCGGTCTGTTCGTTACTATTGGTTCATAACCACTGCAACTTGCGCGACGTGCTTGTAACGGGCGTGCAACTGGCTGGGGAAAAAACCTCGGGTGCAGGGTTTCCATCCGGTGCAGGGCAAATTCGCGTGCACGGGTTGGGCATCATGTGTACACACAATGCATGTGCATGAACACCTGATTGGTGGCCTGGGTGATGATGGCCCGTACGAAACGTGTACATTAGTACCACTGTAGGTGGACCGAGCCACTGACCCGTTTTACGGTAGTCCACAGTTCAACTACAACGGACCAACCCCTAAGCCACGTAAGGTGTAGGTATGTCGTGCTACCTAGTTTTTTTAGTTTTGTTTTGTTGTGGTAAAGGATTCTTCATGAAGCATTGAGAGAGGTGCCACCGTATGAGATGGTAGTGTATTATGACTTAGATTATAGTTATCATAAGGGCCTTATCATTATGCTATGAAGAGTGTTGACTGATCTTCAGGGGATTCCAGATTACCGTCTGACATCGGTTTATATGCGGAATGGATGCTTGTTTGCTTCTGTTGTCCAGGCTGGCATTTCGACAATTTTTGTCCCCTTTCCTGTCGTCTGCCTGCAGAAACGCCAGGATGAATCACGAGCAAGACAATCATTCGCGTGTAACTCCGTAAAAAACCTTCACGCCAGCCTGGAATATATCTGGCCGTTGAGTACGACGAAGTTCGCTTATCGTCATTTCCATGTGGCAGGAAGTCGTAGGTTATCCAATCGCAGACGAAAACTGGTTACTCTTCTCTACACCTGGTGTCGCACACTCTTAGAGATTTAGAGGTGGAGGGGAGGCTTGTCGCACGGTCACTGTGCGAGCGACAGTGACTCGCCTCAGGATCACTTGTCGCTGACTCGAGTGTGGCATGGCATGGCGCATGGCTGGCTGGGCTGGGGAAAGGGAGGAAGGGAGGGAGGGAGGGAGGGAGGCTTGCTCAGCTCCTCCCAACCATACTGCACCTTTCGGTATGGTTCCAAACCAAACCAAGGGATGAGGTTGGTGAAGCACCAACTTCAATGGAATATTTCGGCTTGAGGTTCCGTTGTTCGCACCGAGGCTGTATTATTTGGCTCGGTCAGCCTCAGAGGTGTTGACCTGTCTTCCTCACCTCTTTCCCTAACCTTTGCGCCCCCAAAGCCAGTTTCAACACTGGTTCGGCACTGGTTTGAATCTGGCTCGGTGCGGATACAACCGAGGCATCCACAGCAGCTCATACACATGATGCCTGATTGAGCCCCTCCCGGTTGCCTTGTAAAGGGGGCGTATAAGCTGTATCGTACATTTCGCATAAGTTTCGTCAATTCGCAGCTAGCTAAAAAGGATTCGCAGGTGCTTATAAAAGGATCTGTAACCTTATCCGTTGACATTTTGACTTCAGTCTTGACTTCGGTCTGTTCGTTACAATTGGTTCATAACTACGCGACGCGCTTGTACCGTGGGCGCAACAGGCTGGGGAAAAAACCTCGGGTGCAGCGTTTCCATCCGGTGTAGAGCAAATTCGCGTGCATGGGGTGGGCATCACCTGTACTGTACTGTGCAATGGCTGATGCCTGTCGTGCCATTTTATAAATCATGGCTGCCTGCTTGCATTGCTCGGCTGACTCTAATTTTCAGCAACCACCCAGAGCTGAGCTTTATGATGCTCGCCCATTGCTATGTCAACACGATGTCGCTCGCTCAACCGTAACTTGTCTGGTAGCGACTGTCTTAATCCATCTTAGCTGGCAGACACAGCTTCACCAGAAACGTATGTTGACGAGTTGGATTGCATGATACAGATTAGCAATGCTCGTTAGGTTTCGTGATAATAGGCATCTGTTTCCTAAGCCCGACGTTTAGGAATACGTGTTAACTCGAACAAAACGACATAGTGTGTTTGCCTCCAGTTTCCGACTCATTAGGTCAGTGCATTCAGCTGTAATCATTTGGTTACCGCCATTGTATTCCCTTTCGACGTCCTTCGTTGCCTGGGTATTGCCAATCATGTTCTCCCTTGAAAGCGACGACGACGAAGACTGCGACGATTAGGACGACCCTTATCAGCTCGTTCTAACGACAGACTCGTAGGTAAACGACGACCTAGAGTTCGACACGCTACTTCGCTTCACTCGTTCCTCACGCGTCGCACTCCACTTACGCCAGTTCCATGGCTGCCGTCCCGTCTTCCTCTCAATCTGGTCCGAGCGACAACTGGCAGAGCCGAGCCTCTGCAGCTGCGTCGGGAGCGTCCGAAGCTGAAACGAGAGAGTCACGAGCAGCAGCAGAGACACCAGAAGCAGTACCGGCAGACACCGTGACAGCAACCCTAGCGGCAACACCCACAGTAGCTGCTCCCAATGTTCGTGACCCCGCAGCCAGTGGTGCCGGCTCTTGCGCAGGATTAGGGTTCGCTTCCGCCAATCCCCCCCGACCCACCACCGCGGCGGCTAGGTGCTTAGATGCGCCGTCTGGACCCGCCCTAACGGGGCCCGCGCCTCGGTCTTTTGATTTACCACCTAGACCTACAGGCGATTCCGGAACAACCGCCGCGATTCAGGGAGCGTCGTCGGATGCGGCGTTGGGATCGCATCGTACGGTGGGGGAGTCCGCAGGCAGGTCTCACATCCGCCGATCTTTCTTCCCCCGATCGTCGTCGGAGAAAGGCGTAGTTTCTGCGCGATTACCCCCGCCGGGACCATGGGGAAGTGCCAGCGGAGGCCATGGGGGGAGTCAAGGGGGAACCGCGTCGTCTTCCCCCTGCCCGTCCGCCAGCTCCAGTCATCCGGAGGAGCTTCAAGATCTCCCCGAGTCCGCTTCCGCTTCCGCCTCTGCCGGCGCGCACGGCGCGGGAACCGGAGCTAGCGCAGGCCTTGTCCGGCATGCCAGGGAAACCAGTCTTTCCGCCGGGATTGCCGATACCAGGGGTGGAGTGGGCGTTTCCCCCCGCACGTCCGCTTCCCCCTTCTCCTCCTCCTCCCCGTTCCGCCCCCACCGTCGCACTCCCAGCCCGAATTTTTTATTCTTCCGCCGATCGTTGGGCGGGGACGAAAGCATTTCCGCTTCCATCTCCTCCGCTGACGCGGAAGCGCAGGGGGAGGGGGGACGGTTAGGGGAATTAGGAGGGCAAGGGGAAGGAGAAGGAAACTCTCCCGTGTTTTCCGGGTGCTCTGGGCGCAGAGGGGTTGGTATCGGGTCATGGGGGGGAAGCGGGGACGGCGCCAATAGCGGGGGGGGACTGTTTGGGCTGATCGGAAGCGGGGGGGTGGGGCTCGGCGCAGGCGCAGGCGCAGGCGCTGATGGAAGCGGGGGGATGGGGATTGGGGGATTGAGACGGCTGAGTAGGACCACGTCAGCGCCAGCGTGGAACATTCAGCAGGCGCTGCGTCAGGTGGAGGAGGAGGAAGGAGGTGACAGTAACGAGGGGAAGAAGCAGCACAGGCGGAGAAGGAGCGGGAGACGGAATAGCATTGGGAGCATGGGTTCTGGGGATGTTGGTGGTGGTGATGGTTCTGCTGATGGTGGTGCTGGTGGTGGTATCGGGGAGTTAGGATCAACTGGGGAAGGCGGTATGTCTGGTCGTTCTAGTGCGGGTGAGAGGCGGGACGAGGAGGAGGAGGGGAGGGCGGGGGAGGCGGAAGAGGCGGAAGGGAAAGGGGAAGAGGGGGACGAGGAGGTGAAGGGCGGGGGGGTTGGCCACCCCATGGAAATTCCGCGGTCAGAGTCAGAACCGGTGGGACGGCCACGGTCAGGGCTGGAAGCAGTCAGCAAGATGTCGATTTTCAAGATGATGAAGCAGAGGAAGGTTGGTAAGGACCAGAAGCAGCAGATGCAGCAGCAGCAGCAGCAGAATTTGCAAGCGCAGCAAGAGCAGCAGGAGAGCCAGGAACAGGAGGAGGAAGAGGGGCAGCGGGCGGGGCAGCAGCAGCAGTGGCAGATGCTGGGGCGGCATCAGAGGAAGCAGAAGGAGCAGGAGCGAGGGGGCCGGCTGTTTTCTGGAAGTCCTCTGAAGCAATTGAGTCCGTTGATGCACAGCCCGCTGAGACAATCCAGTCCGTCGATGCACTCTGGCAGCCCCATGATGCAATCCAGTCCGTTGAGGTACCACCACTCCCAGTCAGAATCGAGCGTAGATGAAAGGGAGGAGGAAGAGGACGGTGAGACGGGTACTGAGGGGACTGAGGGGACGGATGGGGAGGAATCAGAAGGCATAGGGGGGAGTGAGGATGGGATGAGTGGAGGGGAGGGGTGGCAGCGGCGGCAGCAGCAGCAGCAGCGGCGAAGGCAGGGGAGAATGCGAGCGGAGCAACTGTATGTAGAGATTCCCCCTGAAGGGGGAGGGGGAGCGGACGATCTCCCCCTCCCCACGCCTAGCGACGGCGGAAGCAGCAGCACGCGCAGCGTAGGCGGGGGAGGCGGATTCCGGGGGCTAGGGGGGCTCGGGGGGTTTGGGGGATCAGGGGGAGCGGGTGTGGGGGGAACTGGGGGGGCGGAACGACCAACGGGAACCCCCCCCTTGCCCAAATATGCTTCCCCGCGGCGCAGGAAGATTACGGTTAAGGGGATGCCGAGTCCTAGGCGGAAAGAAAGCGCTGGCGGAGCGGGAGGCGCGGGGGGAGGGGGCAAGGGCGGAAGCAGCGCGCGCATGCTGTCCCGCATGCTGCATGGGGCGGGGGCAGGGGGGTTGTTCGGGGGAAAGGGCGGAGGTGCGGGGGAGGGAGGCGGAGGAGCAGGGGGAGGCAAAGGCGGGGAGCAATTCAGCCAGAAACTAGTCATAGAAGGCCCGGATAGGTTTAATCTGCTGCTGCTGGAGGAAGGGGAGTACTATTTTAAGGACTATGCGTGTAATTATTACCCCAACGGCGGCGTGCAGCGGGTTCCGGGGCACCTGAAGCTGTGCAGTGCCTCAATATTCTTTGTGCCCAAGAGCACTCTCGAGCCCGTGTTCCGCATTCCCTTCGGCTGCGTGTCGGCTGTTGACAGGTGGGCATGTGGGTGGGTATGTGTGCGTGTGGGTGTCTGTAGTCAAATCTGTGAGATGGCTTAGAAATTGGGTAAGAAAGCGGGTTCCAGGGCACCTGAAGCTGTGCAGTGGGTCGCTATTCTTTGTGCCCAAGAGCACTCTGGAGCCCGTCTTCCGCATCCCCTTTGGCTGCGTGTCGGCCGTTGACAGGTGGGCATGGGCATGATGTGTGGGCATGTGTGAGGGGTTCTGAGTGTGTGTGGGTGTGTGTCGGTATTCTTCGTGCCCAAGAGCACTCTGGAGCACGTGTATCGATATTCGTCTGTGTTTCACATCGCATGCCCTTGAGCCAAGCCAGTGAGCGCACAGACGCGGAAGGTGGGGCAAGGCAACCGCCACGCGCCCTACCGCCACCACCGAAGCCACTTCGCCTTCGCCTTTGCTCTGCTCCGCTCTTCCCACTCTGCTCCTGATCAACGCCAACCTCACTTCTCCCTCGCTCGCTCCCCACTCCGTTTTTTGAGAATTCTCAAAAAGCAGACTTCGCCTTCGCCTTTGCTCTGTTCCGCTCTGCCCCTGATCAACGCCAACCTCTCTTCTCCCTCGCTCCCCACTCCCGTCTCTCTCCGCCCATTCCCGCCTCTCCCTCCGCCCGTTCCCTTCTCTGATCGCCCCTCCCCTCCCTCCCCCATTCCGCACCCCCCGACCCCCACCCGCTCCCCTCTCCCCCACACAGGGCGGCGCACATGGGGGGGGAGAGGGGGGAGGAGTTTCTGATCATCTGTGCGAGTGAGCTTGTTGGGTTCCTCTCTGTCTGCCCCACCCACCACAACCCCACACCCGCCTCTCTCCCTTCCCCTCTCCCTCAGGGCGGCGCACATGGGAGGGGAGAGGGGCGAGGAGTTTCTGATCATCTGTGCGAGTGAGCGCACAGACGTGAAGGTGGGCAACCGCCACGCGCCCTACCGCCACCACCGCGGCGACTTCGCCTTTGCGTTTGCGCTGCTGTACACGTCGCTGGGGGGGGTGCTGCCGCGCGTGTCCGCTCTGCTTGACATCGCCCAGGGCCCCTCGTGGGAGCAGCCGGGCAAGCTCAGCGCGCTGGTGCAGGAGCACGAGCAGGAGGTGAGAGGGGGGGAGGGGGAGGAGGAGGGGGAGGTGGAGGGGGAGGTGAGAAGGGGCAAGCTCTGCTTGACATCGCCCAGGGGCCCTCGTGGGAGCAGCCGGGCAAGCTGAGTGCTCTCGTGCAGGAGCATGAGCAGGAGATGAGGAGGGGGGAGGGGTTGGGGGAGGGAGGGATTGCGGTTCAACCAGGGGTGGCTGGAGAAGGGGGACGACAGGGTGATAGCAATGCTGGTCTCCTCTCCTCACTGCACCCACTGCTCCCCTCCCCATTCATCTGCTCCCCTCTCCCTCCCCTCCCCGCCACCAGGTGAGGTTCAACCCGGGGTGGCTGGAGGAGGGGGACGACCGGGTGGTGGCGGAGCCGGACTCCTCTCCTTTCCCCACCCACCCTATCTCTTTGTCCCCCCACCCACATGGTCCCCTCCACTCTCCACCAGGTGCGGTTCAACCCGGGGTGGCTGGAGGAGGGGGACGACCGGGTGGTGGCGGAGCCGGACTCCTCTCCTTTCCCCACCCACCCTATCTCTTTGTCCCCCCACCCACATGGTCCCCTCCACTCTCCACCAGGTGCGGTTCAACCCGGGGTGGCTGGAGGAGGGGGACGACCGGGTGGTGGCGGAGCCGGACTCCTCTCCTTTCCCCACCCACCCTATCTCTTTGTCCCCCCACCCACATGGTCCCCTCCACTCTCCACCAGGTGAGGTTCAACCCGGGGTGGCTGGAGGAGGGGGACGACCGGGTGGTGGCGGAGCCGGACTCCTCTCCTTTCCCCACCCACCCTATCTCTTTGTCCCCCCACCCACATGGTCCCCTCCACTCTCCACCAGGTGAGGTTCAACCCGGGGTGGCTGGAGGAGGGGGACGACCGGGTGGTGGCGGAGCCGGACTCCTCTCCTTTCCCCACCCACCCTATCTCTTTGTCCCCCCACCCACATGGTCCCCTCCACTCTCCACCAGGTGAGGTTCAACCCGAAGTGGCTGGAGGAGGGGGACGACCGGGTGGTGGCGGAGCCGGACTCCTCTCCTTTCCCCACCCACCCTATCTCTTTGTCCCCCCACCCACATGGTCCCCTCCACTCTCCACCAGGTGCGGTTCAACCCGGGGTGGCTGGAGGAGGGGGATGACAGGGTGGTGGCGGAGCTGGTCTCCTCTCCGCTCCCCACCCACCTTGTCTCTTTGCCCACCCACCCACCTGCTCCCCACCCCTCCCCACCCATCTGCACCCCTCCCCACCAGGTGCGGTTCAACCCGGGGTGGCTGGAGGAGGGGGATGACAGGGTGGTGGCGGAGCTGGTCTCCTCTCCGCTCCCCACCCACCTTGTCTCTTTGCCCACCCACCCACCCACCTGCTCCCCACCTCTCCCCACCCATCTGCACCCCTCCCCACCAGGTGCGGTTCAACCCGGGGTGGCTGGAGGAGGGGGACGACGGGGTGGTGGCGGAGCTGGTGGGGTCGCAGATGCTGCCGCTCGTGCTGCAGCCGGGCCGCATCATCCTCACGCCCTACAGCGTCTACTTCCAGCCCTTCAACGTCGTCTCCTCCGTGCCGGTCGTGCGGCACCCGCTGCGGACCGTCACGGCTGTCATGCGCCGATCCACACATCTCCAAGAGGTGAGCAGGTTAGAGGGAGGGACACTCGAGCCTGCTGCTGCTCCTGCAGCTGCAGCCAGGCCGCATCATCCTCACGCCCTACAGCGTCTGCTTTCAACCCTTCAACGTCGTCTCCTCTGTGCCAGTTGTGCGGCACCCCCTGAGAACGGTCACGGCTGTCATGAGGAGAAGCACACACCTCCAAGAGGTGAGCGGGTTAGAGGGAGGGACACACACTCGTCTCGTTTTCTCCTGCAGCTGCAGCCGGGCCGCATCATCCTCACGCCCTACAGCGTCTACTTTCAACCCTTCAACGTCGTCTCCTCTGTGCCAGTTGTGCGGCACCCCCTGAGAACGGTCACGGCTGTCATGAGGAGAAGCACACACCTCCAAGAGGTGAGTGGGTTAGAGGGAGGGACACACACTCGTCTCGTTTTCTCCTGCAGCTGCAGCCGGGCCGCATCATCCTCACGCCCTACAGCGTCTACTTTCAACCCTTCAACGTCGTCTCCTCTGTGCCCGTGGTGCGGCATCCGCTTAGGACCGTCACCGCTGTCATGAGGAGAAGCACACATCTGCAGGAGGTAAGAAGAGGGTAGGGTAGAGGCAGCACACACGCTCACACAGAGAGACACACACAGACACGCGCACACTTGAGTCAGCAGCACCAGTGCTGCAGCCGGGCCGCCTCACACCATATCCACCCCTCTCCACCCATTTCCATCCATCTCCACCCATCTCCCCCATGCAGATCGGAGTCGAGATCTTCTACTCACAATGGTCAAGGTAACTAACTCTCTCCCCTCCCTCCCCCTGCTGGCTCGTTTTCTCGTCTCATATGCTCCTCTCCTCTGTGCAACTGTTTTTTCCCCAACCCCTGCCATCCACACTGCCCGCCTGGTTTGGCCTCTTCCCCATTATCGGGGTCTGTACCGCCACACCCACCCCCTCTTCTCCCCATACACGAATGTCCTCTCCCCCTCTCTTCCTCCGTCTGCTCCCCTTACAGCATCTACTTCACGTTCAAGTCAACCCAGGACTGTTCTGCTAGCTCATTCTTCATCCCTCCCCCCCGCTCCCTTCCTCCTTCCTCCGCCCCCCTCTCCCTCACAGCATCTACTTCACGTTCAAGTCAACCCAGGACTGCTCCCGGTTCTACTCGCTGCTGCTGCAGCAGGTGAGTGAGACTGTGCGGGTCCTGCTAAGCTTTTGAAGCGTTCCACAACGCAAACGTTCGGATCGTGCTTAGGCTTTAATGACTCGTTATTTGACTCGACTGCCCGTCAGCCCCCAGGACTGTTCCGAGTCCTTCTCACCGTTCCTCCCTCCACTCCCTCCCTCTCTTCCTTCTCTCCTCTCTCCTCTCCCACCCTCTCCCCCTCCCCTCCACTTTCCGCTCCCTCCCTCTCCTCCTTCCACCCTCCTTCCTCTCCTCTCCTCTTCCCCCTTTGACCTTCCCCCTCTCCCCCCTCTCCTCCTCTTTCCCCTCCCTTCCCTTGCGCTTCTCCCCTCTTCCCTCCTCCTCCCAGCCCGGGCTGTCAATAGAGAGCATGCGCAGTCGGGACAAGTGGGTGAGGGAGTGGGTGAGTGGCGCCATCTCCAACTTCGACTACCTCATGTACCTCAACCGTGAGGCCAACCGCCCCTCCTCCCACTCCCTCCCTCCCACTCCTCTCTTCTGTCCTCTCTCTCCTTCTCCTCCTTCCCTCTTTTTTTCCCTTCCTCTTCTCCTCTCCTCCCCTTCTCCTGCCCTCCTCCCTCCCCCTCCCCCCCAGCCCGGGCTGTCAATAGAGAGCATGCGCAGTCGGGACAAGTGGGTGAGGGAGTGGGTGAGTGGCGCCATCTCCAACTTCGACTACCTCATGTACCTCAACCGCGAGGCTAACCGCTCCTTCAACGACCTCTCGCAATACCCCGTCTTTCCCTGGGTTATTGCGGATTATACCTCCAAGTACGTGCGTGTGGTGTGGGTTCGCTTTTTTCCCCTGCGAGTGACAACCCCTCCCCGGCCCCTCTCGCTCTACCCCTTCCCCCCTTCCTTCCCCATCCCCCTCCACCTCCCCCTCCCTCTACCACTTCCCCAAACCCGTCCCCATCCCCCTACACCTCCCCCTCCCTCTACCCCTCCCTCAACTCCTTCCCCACCCCCCTCCACCTGACCCTCCCCTATTCTCTTCTCTTCTGTCTCCTACTCTTCCACTCGTCCCTCCATCTCTCTTTTAAAATTCTCCCCTCCCGTTCGCACCTCCTGTATTTTATCACTCGCTTTTCCACGCATCCTGTCCCTCCATCTTCTCACAAATCTCGCCCCTCCCACAAGTCTCGCCCCTCCCTCACATCTCGCCCCTCCCTCAAATCTCGCCCCTCCCACAATTCTTGCCCCTCCCTGGCATCTCTCCCCTCTCCCACCACTCGCCCCTCCCCCTGTCCCATGCCCTATTGTTCCAGGGAGCTTGATCTTACCTCCCCAGCCACCTTTCGAGACTTGCGCAAGGTGAGAGGTGGGACAGGTGAGAGGTGGGGCAGGTGAGAGGTGGGGCAGGTGAGAGCTGGGGCAGGTGAGAGCTGGGGCAGGTGAAAGTTGTGGCCGGTGAGAGCTGGGGCAGGTGAAAGTTGTGGCAGGTGGGATGCAGGGAAACTTGACCATTCGTGAGGCAGCAAAGTGTCTGCTACACCTTTTCAATCCACCGCACCCTCTTCCACCGCTTCTGAATCCCCATTCACCCCTCTGCACATTGCTCTCCATCCCACCTGCACCCCGTGGGAGCGCTCAACCCCGACCGCCTGGAGAAGTTTCGGCAGCGCTACGACGACCAGTCAGAGCTCTACGCGCCCCTTCTCATCGCTTTGAACCCCCTTTCACCCCTACCGCACATTCAACCCTCTGTCAGCCCGTGGGAGCACTCAACCCCGACCGCCTGGAGAAGTTCCGGCAGCGCTACGACGACCTGGCAGAGCTCTCTGAACCCCCCTTCACCTCTCTGCACCGCCTTTCACCATTCTGAAATCCCCTTCACCCCTTTGCTTTGCACCCATCCCACTCTACCCCTGCAGCCCGTGGGAACACTCAACCCCGACCGCCTGGAGAAGTTCCTGCAGCGCTACGACGACCTGGCAGAACTATCTGAACCCCTTTTCACCCTTTTAAACGCCCTTTTACCGCTTTGCACATCCCTTTTCAGCCCGTGGGCGCGCTCAACCCCGAGCGCCTGGAGAAGTTCCGGCAGCGCTACGACGACCTGGCAGAGCTCTACGAGGACTGGGCGGGAAACTTCCCGGAAGGCGAGGTGCCGCCGCACGTGCCGGGCACGCCGGCCCCGGCGTTCCTGTACGGGTGCCACTACTCAACGCCCGGCTACGTGGTGTATGTGCGCGTGCGCGACGCCCCCCAGCTCATGCTGCGCCTCCAGAATGGCCGATTCGACATGCCTGACCGCCTCCTCTCTTCCATCCCCGAGGTAAGTTGGGAGGGGGTGGGTGCAGGGGGGCAGGGGGGCAGCTTGCGTGGGTGCTGCGTGGGGGGAGGAGATTTTGCTGGCAGAGGCGCTGCTGGGGGGGGCGGGGAGCAAGGAGGGAGTGGGGCAGAGGGGGGGGAAGTGGGGCAGATGCAAGGGGGGTGATGCGGGATGTGCGGAGAGGGCGTGAAGCAACCCAACTGACGTAAAAAACTATGCTTGCTCTTTTGTGTTTGTGACTGTGTGCATGTGTGTGGGAATGTGAGGAAATGTATGGAATTGTGTGGGAACCGTGTGCATGTGTATGCATCTCCCTCTGGCATGTGTTTATGGCATGTGTGCATGGCATGGCATGTGTACGGAAATCAGATGTGGGAGGGGGCGTACAACAACCCGTCAGACCTCAAGGAGCTCATTCCAGTAAGCTCTCTCGCTGTGCTTGCACCATGCTCTCACGGCGTCTATTCTTACACATTTAAGAATAAGACTCATTCCAACAAGCACTCTCACTGCTGCTTGCACCATGCTCGGACGGCGCTTGCTTGCGCCATGCCATGGCTGTGCCCGCACCATGCCAATCCACAGCAGTTCTATTCCTTCATCTCTCCATGCTCTTGCTGCTCAACTCACAGGTCCTGGACTGAGTTCCTGAAGTTGACTCATTTTAAACCACCCTTTTCCCCATCCCCTCCCCGTACCACAGGAGTTCTATTCGCTCTCCACGTCCTTCTTGCTCAACTCCCAAGGACTAGACCTGGGCGTCAAGCAGGACGGAGTGCCGGTGGGGGATGTGGTGCTGCCGCCCTGGGCCACCGACGCTCACGACTTTGCCGCCAAGATGCGCCAAGCGCTAGAATGCCCGTAAGCCCCCTCTCTGTCCCTATCCGCTAGAGTGCCTGTAAGCCCCCTGGTCCGTAAGCCCTGTGTGACTGGCTGCAACCTGCACTGGGGTCGTCGGTGGGTGATGTGGTGCTGCCGCCCTGGGCCAACGACGCCCATGACTTTGCCGCCAAGATGCGCCAAGCGCTAGAATGCCCGTAAGTGCTAGAGTGCCCGTAAGTGCTAGAGTGCCCGTAAGTGCTAGAATGCCCGTAAGTGCTAGAGTGCCCGTAAGTGCTAGAATGCCCGTAAGTGCTAGAATGCCCGTAAGTGCTAGAGTGCCCGTAAGTGCTAGAGTGCCCGTAAGTGCTAGAGTGCCCGTAAGTGCTAGAATGCCCGTAAGTGCTAGAGTGCCCGTAAGTGCTAGAATGCCCGTAAGTGCTAGAGTGCCCGTAAGTGCTAGAGTGCCCGCACCGCAACCCTTGTGTGTCTGTTTGCAACCCTCTCTGGGGTCACCAGTGGGGGATGTGGTGCTGCCCCCCTGGGCCAACGACGCCCATGACTTTGCCGCCAAGATGCGCCAAGCGCTAGAGTGCCCGTAAGTTTCTGTTTCTCTTTGTAACCACACCCTCCCCCCCCCTCTCCTCCCTCCTCCTCCTCCCTTTTCCCCCCCTCCTTTGTCTTTCTTTCTCTCTTTCTTTGCTTTCACTCTTATCGCTGCCCGTTTTCTCCTCTTCCCCCCTTCTCCCCGCATCAGCTACGTGTCAAAGCGTCTGCACCATTGGATCAACCTCGTGTTTGGGTGCAAGCAGAGGGGCGAGGCAGCAGTGGAGGCCGATAATGTCTTCCACCCGCTCACTTACGACGACATAGGCGCTCAGGTGCGTACTCAATATAAGCGTAGTGGATGTATGCTACAGGCATATGTGTACTTTCCACAGTGGCAGTGGAGGCAGACAATGTGTTCCACCCGCTCACCTACGACATAGGCGCTCAGGTGAGCACATACTCGATATATGATACCCGCTCACACTGTACAGCAAATGTTTGGTTTTTTTTCGTGGTAAACAGCCCTGTCTCATCCTCCTCTCCTCCCCTGCCCCTGCCCACCATCGCCACCAGGTGCTAGCATCAGTGGAGGACGACACAGTGCAGCAGGCACTCACACCACATTGCAGATGAGGGAGATTGGTCGCACGCCCAAACAGCTCTCCTCCTGTGCCGACCGACCACTCCCCTCCCTCTCTCTCGTTCCCTTCCCCTCCCCCGCCCCCATCATCATCAGGTGCTAGCATCAGTGGAGGACGATACAGTGCAGCAGGCACTAACGGTGCAGATGAGGGAGTTCGCTGCATGCACAAGCAGTTCTCTCTTCTGCCACCCCCCTGCCTCTCCGTCCTCCGCCTCACCAGGTGCTAGCATCAGTGGAGGACGACACAGTGCAGCAGGCGCTGACGGTGCAGATGAGGGAGTTTGGCCGCACGCCCAAGCAGCTCTCCTCCTCCCCAACCCCCTGCCTCTCTCCTTCCCTCCTCTTCTTTCTTCTTTCTGCCTCTCCTCCCTCGCGCCCGTCACCACCAGGTGCTAGCATCAGTGGAGGACGACACAGTGCAGCAGGCACTAACGGTGCAGATGAGGGAGTTTGGCCGCACGCCCAAGCAGCTCTTCACAGCACCGCACCCGCGCCAGCTGCGCAAGGAAGTGCGCGTCATTCACAGGTATGGGGGGGGCTGGGCGTCATTCCAAGGTGAGGGGTGGAGTTGTCTCTCACGGTTAGGGAAGTTAGGGAAGCCTTTTTCAGCTCTTCGCAGCGCACCCGCGCCAGCGGCGCAAGGATTTGCACGTCATCCACAGGTGCGTACAGCATCGCGTGCCATGAGCCTGCCGTCTCTCTTCCGCCTGTCAACAGTGGACTCGCACATTGTGGTGCAGTCGCTCTCCACGCTTCCCCATCTTGTCCTGCCCCCCCTTCCTCACCCTCCCCTCCCTCCGTTCCCCCGAAATCAGATACGTGCGCACAGCATCAAGAGCCATGCGCCTGCCGTCGCTCTTCCGCCAGTCAACAGTGGATTCACACATCGTGGTGCAGTCACTCTCCACTCTCAACCGCGTCTCCACCCACCGCTCGCACCTCGACTCCAAACTCAAGTCGCGCCGGGGGTACGCTGCTGGTTGGGTTGGGGGAGTGGGCCTTGCCTGCCATCGCTGCTGGCTGGTTGGGTTGCTGGCTGGGTTGCTGGCTGGGCTGGGTTGGGGGGCATGCAGTGGGCCTTGCCTGTCGCTTCTCCTCGTCCGCCAGTCAACAGTGGATTCACACATCGTGGTGCAGTCGCTCTCCACTCTCAACCGCGTCTCCACCCACCGCTCCCACCTCGACACAAAATTGAAGTCCCGCCGCGGGTAGGCTGGGCTGGATTGGGGGTGGGGGCGGCCTGTTTGGGTTGGGTTTGGGGGGACGTGCAGTGTGACGCCTGCCATCGCTCTTCCGCCAGTCAACAGTGGACTCACACATTGTGGTGCAATCGCTCTCCACGCTCAACCGCGTCTCCACCCACCGCTCCCACCTCGACTCCAAACTCAAGTCCCGCCGCAGGTATGTGGTGTTGAAAGGGGGAAAGGGAGGGTGTACCTAAGGAGCGCGGGTGGTGTGGTGGGTGGGTGGCACAGTGGCATGGTGGCATGGTGGCATGGTGGCATATGTGGTGCATGGCAGCATGTTTGGAAGCAATTGAGAGCATTCTCCCTTTCGTTGCTCCCCCTCCCCTCTTCCCTCCCCTCTTCCCTCCCCACTCCCCCATCTTTGCCTCCCCTATTCCCCACCCCACCTTCCCCACCAGCGACAAGACCATTCTGATGGGAGCGCTGAACCCGCTGGTGGAGCTGGCACTGCCAGATCGGTCGGTGTACCGTGCCATCGCAGAGGTGGCGGGGGCCACTGTGGAGGGGTGATGTTGCGAGGTGTTGTGAGGCAACCAACACCACCTTCCCCCACTCTCTCTTCTCCCTCCCCGCCAGTTACAAGACCATTCTGATGGGAGCGCTGAACCCTTTAGTGGAGCTGGCGCTGCCCGACCGGTCGGTGTATCGTGCCATCGCACAGGTGGCAGGCAGGGGCCACTGTGGAGGGGTGATGTTGCGAGGTGTTGTGAGGCAACCAACACCACCTTCCCCCCCTCCCCACCCCACTCTCCCCACCAGCTACAAGACCATCCTAATGGGAGCGCTGAACCCTCTGGTGGAGTTGGCGCTGCCGGACCGCTCCGTGTACCGTGCCATCGCGCAGGTGGCAGGGGGCGAGAAGGACAGGGAAGGGCAGGAGTTTGGCCTCGAGTGGCTGGAAAACACAGCCATGTACAGAGAAGCAGGTAGGGCTGCTGCTACAACCCGGCCAAAGCCAGGTATAGAGAGGCACGTACGCTGCTATATCCCTTTGTGTAGCCCCTCCTGTCTTTGTCAACGTCTCATGTTCTTCACTAGAATCTCTCCTTACAGTTTGAAACGACTGGAGTTTTCGTCTTTGCTGTGACTCTCTCTCTCATAGCCTTAGCTGGATCATTCCCTACCTACCCCACCCCCCCTCCCCTCTCACCCTCCCCCTTCCCCCCCTTCTCCCGCGCATCTCCAATTTGCACCCTCACCTTCATCTTTTTTTTTCTTCTCCTGTCGTTCCCCCACTCCTTCTCTCCCCCCCCTCCACCCCCCCCACACATCAGACATGCTTCAAATCTCGAGTGCCAAGTATATGCTGCCCCTCATGCCTCTCGCCCACTCGAAGCGCACCGACCAGCGGGCGGCAGCCATGCGGGCGGTTGCCGCCCTCTGCAAGCCGGACGCCAACCGGCAATTCGTCTATTCTGCAGGCTTTCTGGAGCCCATCGAGGCAGCGATCGTGGGCGGATACGACCGGGTGAGTCAGTGAGTGGGTGAGTGAGTGAGTGAGTGATTGAGTGAGTGAGTGAGTGGGTGAGTGAGTCAGTGAGTGTGTGAGTGAGTGAGTGAGTGAGCGAGAGATCTTAGGGAAGATGATGTGCTGTGGTAGCAATTCTCGAGGCACAAAGTCCCCTTGCAAAGATATATCTGGAGACCATCGAGGCAGCAATCGTGGGCGGATATGATCGGGTGAGTGAGTGAGTGATTGACCTCACTGAATATGCTGTGCGTGAGAGGATACCAACGCCTAGGAGTGAAAGAAGAAGAAGATATGGCACCAGGCACAGGTAACACAGCAGTGGGGTTGATGTGGATGCTGTGCAAAAGGAGACAGTATTTGATGTGTAGCGTAATTGTTTTGTACCAATTGGACCATGTGCAAGTGGTAGGTGAGAAATTCTGAGAGGAGGTTGATGGTACCAAGGGCGAGGGAAGGGGGGGGCACGTGAGGTGGAGGGAGGGGACATGACGCAGCCATGACTAGACCCTGGGTTGGAATCCAAGTGCTCAGTGTGGTGTGGACCAGGACCAACACCATTCTCCCTTCTGTCACCTGTTTCTCCTCTTTCTCCTCTCTCCCCCTACCCTCTCCCCCTCCGCCAGCAGGGCACCAAGGCGGCAGTGGATGCGATTGCAAAGCTCTCTGTGCTGCCGGTGGTGGTGGGGGAGTCGTGCGCGATTTCCCAAGTCACCCTCCTACCCTTCCTTCCCTTGACCATTTCCCCTCCGCCGTCCCCTCTCCTCCAGCAGGGCACCAAGGCAGCAGTGGATGCGATCGCGAAGCTGTCAGTGCTGCCGGAGGTGGTGGAGGAGTATGGACTCAACCCCTGAGTCATTTCCTCTACTGCTCCCCCCGTTTCCCTCCCCCTCCTCTCCCCTCGCTTTTCCCCATGGCAGGGCACCAAGGCGGCAGTGGATGCGATCGCGAAGCTCTCAGTGCTGCCGGAGGTGGTGGAGGAGTTCAGCACAGCTGGCGTCCTCTCATTGGTCGACCTCCTCGTCATGAGCGACAACTCGTTGCAGGTACGGCTGTGTGCTCACCTCACCGAACCGCACGGCACCGCACAACACTGCTCTGCACCGCACCTCATATCACATTACCTCATGTCACCTCCCGTGACCTTGCTCCCTTTCCCTTTCCTTGCTCCACTTTCGCCGTACAACCCCACTTTCTCCTCTACGTTTCTCTTGCCTCCTTGCTCCACCCAAGCAGGCAGTGGAGACCCAGGCTCTAGCGTGTGAGGCGTTGTGGCGGCTGTGCGGGTTGAGGCGCCACCGCCTGCCTGCCCTTGGCCGGGACGTGCTGCCGCGCCTGCTGCCACTGGTGCGAGCGGGGGAGCACTTTACGGTGGAGCTGAGGGAGATGGCTCTGAGGGCGCTGGCTGCTGTGTGCGTGGAGACCAGCAGCCAGGAGGAGGTGAGCCCTGTGTGTGGGGGGATGGGGGGCGAGGAGGGGAGGGGGGGGATGTGTTTGGGAAGGGAAGGGATGGTACTGGGGGAAGAGGGAATGTGGAAAGGAAATGAGTGCTGCCGGTGGGGAAGTGATTGGGTGTTGGGAAGTGATTGGGTGCACTCCCATTTCCTTAATCCCGATCCTTTTTTTTTAGGCAGCCTCAAAACTCCTTCGCTTCCTTCCATCATTTTTTTTTTCCCTTCCACCAATCAGATGCTTCAAAGAGGAGGCCTCAAGGAGGTGCTCGAGATCTGCGCCATGGAAGCAGGAAACATCCTGGAAGCTGCCATCGCCGCGCTCGCCGCCCTCTGCCGCAACCCGGAGCTGCGACTACAGATCGCGGTGGAGGGCGGGCTTCGTCTCTTGTGCAACGCGTCGTGCGCCGCCGAGGCGCAGATACAGGAGGTGGCAGCGAGTGCGCTGCAGAGCCTGCTGGGCGATGGGGTGATTCTGAACGGAGTGATAAGGGAGGAGGGGCTGTGGTCGATTATTGCCATGGCCCAGTCGCAGCACCACGAGGTGCAGAGATTGGCTGCCCGGGCCTTCTGGTACCTGGCCATTCACTGCGAGAACAAACGACAGGTGGGTGTGGTGGGGTTGGGTTTGAGGGGTTTGGTTGACGACGGGTTTGTCTGTGTTTGGGCGATGGGGTGATTCTGAACGGAGTGATAAGGGAGGAGGGGCTGTGGTCGATTATTGCCATGGCCCAGTCGCAGCACCACGAGGTGCAGAGGCTGGCTGCTAGAGCCTTCTGGTACCTGGCCATTCACTGCGAGAACAAGCGACAGGTGAGAGCAAGATGGTGGGAGAATTCTGAACGGGGTTATCAGGGAGGAGGGGCTGTGATCTATTATCGCCATGGCTCAATCGCAGCACCACGAGGTGCAGAGGCTGGCTGCCCGGGCCTTCTGGTACCTGGCCATTCACTGCGAGAACAAGCGACAGGTGAGAGAAAGGAAAAGGTCGGGTGATTCTGAACGGAGTGATAAGGGAGGAGGGGCTGTGGTCGATTATTGCCATGGCTCAATCGCAGCACCACGAGGTGCAGAGCTGGCAGCGAGAGCCTTCTGGTACCTGGCCATTCACTGCGAGAACAAGCGACAGGTGGGTGCGGGGGGAGGGGTATGGGGGGTTGAGGGGTTTGTGTGTGGGGGATGTGGGTAGGAGGGTCGGTCAGTCAGTCGCCCCAGTCGCAGCATCATGAGGTGCAGAGATTGGCTGCCCGGGCCTACCTGGCCATTCACTGCGAGAACAAACGACAGGTGGGTGTGGGGGGTAATTGATTGGCAGGTGGAAGCAAAGAACAGGTGGGGGCAAGGGACATGTGATTTGGTGTGTGACAGGTCAGTTTGTGTGAATGGGTTGTCCTTTTTAAGGGTGTAGTGTCCGAGTCTGCTCATAAGACATCCCTCTCACCACGCTTCCCCACCCCTATCCCCCCCCGCTCCGCCCCCCTCCCCACCTCTCCCCTCCTCTTCCCCACCCATTCTCCCCAGGTGATGGCGTTGGGGGGTCTGCAATCACTGTTAGCATTAGCAGCGCTGGGGGAGCGCAACCGGCACGCCACGCTGCTGGCAGAGGAGGCTCTGCTGCGCCTCTCAGAGGACCGCCACATCCACGCCCACCTCATGCGCGAGCAAGCGTTTCTCGCCCGCACCGCTGCATCTGGTGCCGCTGCTGCTAGTGCTGGTGGTGCTGCTGGTGGTGGTGCTGCTGGTGCTGGTGCTGGTGGGGCTAGTGGTAGGAGTGGTTCTGATGGTGGTGGGAGTGGTACTGATGGTGGTGGTGGGGTTGGAAGGGGTGATGGTGACGGGGAAAGCAGCGGAAGCAGAAGACAAGCAGGAGGAGCAGGATCAGCAGGAGGAACAGGAGGATCAGGAGGAACAGGAGGGGCAGCAGCAGGAGGAGGAGCGAGAGGGGCAGGCCTGGGCTCGTCAGTAACTTCCTCTTCAGGAGCAACAGCAGGCTCTCAACACCCAAACCTCTCAGCAGCAGCAACCCCCACCGCCTCCACCTTGGCCCCGTCCCCCTTCCCCCTCTCCTCCTCCGACTACGAAGGCTTCTCCGGCTTCTCTGCCAGCAGCCCCAGCGCACAGTCAGACCAGTCCTGGGCTTTAACCTGGTCGAATAGCAGCAAGTGGGAGGCGCCCAGCCCAGGGAGAATGTCTATAGACAGCCACACTGTGTCGGTCGCGCCGTTTGTCCCCTCGTCGCTGTCTGTGGGTTCGTCTAGCTCAAACGCTGCTGCTGTGGCTGCTGCTGCTGCTTCCGCTGCTGCTGCTGCTGGTGCGGCTGGTGCTGCCGGTGGTGCTGCCGGTGGTGGTGCTGCTGGTGCTGCTGCTGGTGCTGGTGCAGGTGCTGCTGCTGGTGCTGGTGCAGGTGCAGGGGGCATGGTAGCAGCAGGCAAGGGGATGGTCTATCAACGACCCTTGACGCCCCCCTTCTGGACCAGCTCTGTTCTCTCTCCCGCCACCACCTCTGCAGCTATTGAATCCACCCACAAGCAGCCTCCTGCAGCTGCTAGCGGTGGTGTGACTGCACCTGCTGTCGCCACCAGGGACAGCCATAACATCAACGTCTAATGCCTCTCTCTCTGCACCATCCTCCCTCACCCTCAACGGACGCGTAGCAGCGCCTATTCCCTCCTCCGTCGCTCCCTCCCTGCCTGCCAATAGATTCGGCGGCTAGGCTAGGAGGTCCTCTTATCCTGCAAATCCTTTCAAGTTGCAGTGGAGCACTTCTATCCTGCCCTTTCTTTCAATAAGAGCTCTCCAGTGGAGCTTTCCCATGCAGTGTGGAGAGCTCTTCTCTCCTGTGGTGCTCTCCTGGCGTCTCAAGAAGCTGCCGTGCCGGTGCCTGCAGCCACTGCAAGGGGAAGGGGAGGGCAGCTACTCCCAGAGATATGAAGCTCGGGAGCTGTGTCTCTCAGTGTGAGACGATTTTTGGAGCGCCGCAAAAATCTGATGTTGCGTGCAGCTGCTGCAACGGGAAGGGGAGGGCAGCTGGGAGGGGGAAGTGCAACTGCTGCAAGTGGGAGGGGGAAGTGCAACTGCTGCAAGTGGGAGAGGGAAGTGCAGGGGCAGCAGCAGCACTTCCTTTGTCCCATCACAGAAACTGTTTTTCTTAGGGTTCACCTCTGTTGGTTCTTTCCTGTGGCGATCTGCCTGCCCTGTCCATCCACCGATCTTTCTCCTCGGTCCAACCCCACTTCCCTTTGCCAGCGCCCCTTCTTGGATCGACATCCCACATCGCTCTCTCCTCACTCTGCCCGTTTTGTTCCACTTGCTGTACTGAGGTTCAATCTACATGTTTCTCCCGCTCCTCCCTCCCCCCCTGATTGTTCATGGGGTTGTAAAGTTAGGATCCGTTTTTAGCATTACTAGATGTATCAGTATCTGTTACAAGCTGACCGAGGCTGCAGCCATGCATGCACCCTACTCCATTCTATTCATTCTTTGCCGTTTGAAACTGGCCTCCTTTTTTCCCTCATCTCATGGGTGGGTTGGGTTGGTCTGTGTTGGGGGCACAGCAAAGCAGGGCACGGAAAGACAACTCAAAATTCCTTTCATTGCAACACCATTTTATCCGGGTTGTATGTGCCTCAAACAGGCGATGCATCACTTGTGGCGCCACGCACGCACGACCCCTCAGCGGCACACACCAAACAGTAAACTGTACTACCGTATAAGCTACACTATGTACACAATCATACCGGTCGCGTACTACACTACTCTATGCGGAGCAACACTGTAGGCCAGCCAGACCACACCCTGAGGAGTAGAGCCACCCACACAATCATGAGGCCATACTTAGTGCTGCCGTTTACTAAATGATGGTGGACTGTCGAGGCGCCTCCAAGCTTTGTGGTGCTGCGCCCTGTGCGCAGCAGCTATTTGCAGGTACTACGTAGGATGCTCATTATTATGCCAGGTTACAAGGAGCCTTGGCTGTACTCCTTTGCTCCTCCAATGACTTCTCAGTGCCGTTTAAACCTTGAGTCAGACGCCACCCTGAATGCAACCGCTGCTGAGCCACATGCTGTCCCTTCGACTGCAGATCTCGATCGCGCCATCTCCTGGCAGTAATGATGATGATGACATCACCAACGCACCTCCTTGGTTTCTCCAGTGCCGTTTAAATCGACTCAGGCGTGACCCTGGTTGCACCTATTGTTGCGCCGCATGCTGTCTCCTCCACTGCAAAACTCGGTGTCGTCTTGATGACAGCTCCTCCAGGGTTCTCCAGGGCTCCAATCTGGACCTGCATGAACACATGAACACATGAGCACATGAGCACACGAGTAAATGAACAGCGGAAGCCAGAAACACCTCCTTCAGTCGTCAGAAACTACTTCAATGCACCTCAGAGACTGTTTGAGCCTTAACAATTTGAAGAAGTCGCAAATTTTAACAATCATTAACATCAATTAGAAGAACAATAGTGATTTTAGAGTCTGTGAGCGTACCTGCAGATCCTTTATGTGAGTGAGTGCAGATTCCACCATTGTGGCTGTATCAAGTTGTGCTCTTGCGAGAGATGCAGGTAGCGCTCGATGTAGCAACTCCAGGCCTCTCCTGATACAATCAGATTCCGTACAAGCACGAATATAGAATAAGGTAATATTCCTTACAGTGAGGGATAAACAACGAGAGGACGAACGAGGGAAAGAAGAAAATGGGAGAGGGGTGAGATCTGAGGGGGAGTGGGAGGGTAGGGTTGGGTGGAAGGGGAGAGAGGGAGGGATGGAAGAGACAGGAGGAGGTTCAGTGGGTGGGGAGGTTCAGTTAGGTATGGAGGGAAGGAGAGGGGAATTGGGTGTTGCAAGAAGGGGGTCAAGTCACCTGATGCGATCGCGGCGGTGCCTCTCCTTCATGCTCCTCGCTTGGATGCATCCCAGCCCCACCGCATGCCCATCCAACCGTGCTCGAATGCGCGGCCGCCAGTCCTCAAGCGATGATTGCGATGCCTTAACAGGTGATGATTGCGGCGTCTGAAGAGAAGGCTTTTTCTCCGGCTCAAATATGCGCGGTCTCCAGTCCTCAAGCGATGATTGCGATGCCTTAACAGGCTTTTGCTCCGCCTCAAACATGGTGATGGGGTAAGGCCTCCAGTCCTCTGTTTCCCACGCCTCCTTCTCCTGCTTTGCCTGTCTCACGCTCCTGTCTTCCTCTCTCATCCCCCTCACTTCCGACCACCGCGGTACCTTTTCCAATCCAACCAGGGGCGCCCACGTGGCAGGAGGCTCTCGCATCGTCAGGGCGTGTCCTCTTTCCCTCTCACGACAAACACCAGGAGTGGCGGCAGGTGGGCAGGAGGAACTAGGAGCAGCGGGTGTGCAGCAAACACCAGGAGTGGTGGGCGAGAATAGAGACCTCGTACACGCTCCAATAGGCTGCCGAAATGTCAATGCATGCCCTCTCTTTCCCTCTGACCAACCAACAGTAGCGGTGGGCGAGAAGAAACCAGTGGGCGGATAGGCAGCGCCAGCAGCAGCAGCAGCAGCAGCAGCAGCAACAGCAGCAGCAGAAACAGCAGCAGAACCGGCAGCAGCAACAGCAGCACCGACAGCAGCAGCAGCAGGGGAGGCTGGGGAGGCTGGAAGTGAAGCATTCTCCGGTGAGTGGAGGCAGGGGCTGCCTGGCACAGTAAGCTCGCCTGCAGTCGCATGCTGCATGCTCGCACTCCCTTCTCCCTCCTGCCATGCCCCCTCCTGCCATGTGCACTCTCGAGACACCCCAAATGAAGGCTCCTGCATCATCCCCTCCTGCATCATTCCCATCTGCGTCTTCCCCTCCTGCATCATCCCTCCTTCCAGCATCCTTCCCCCGTCCGGCATCAGGGCACGCATATTCCCCAACAACCCCTCCTCCTCCTGCCGCTCTGGGAAAGGCAAAGTCCGTTTTGCCCCTTCTCCTTGCACCTGATATATTCCAAAACTCTCTTGCAGAGTCGGTGCCCGGGAGTCAGCTTGTTCCTGCATCTGCATCTGCATCTGCATCTGCATCTGCATCTGCGCAAACCGGGCGGCATGTACAGATTCTCGGATCAGATCGGGCGGCAGCCCTGCCAGCTCAGCCTGTGCCTCCCAGCTGGCTGTCGCCACTTGCTGCTGCTGCACCAGAGAAGCCGATGCTGCTGCGTCTCTGTTGACAGTATTGATACCTCCTGAGCCTCCTGAGCCTGCTGAGCCTGCTGACACCGGACTCTCCTTTACGGTTGCTGCAGCTTCATCAATGGTGGTGTTAGCATCACCAAAGCCTGCTGACATAAATCCCTCTGTCTTGATTGCTGCATCCCTGTCAATGATGGTGTTGACTCCTCCAAAGCCTGGCATGGAAATCATTCCATTCGTTGTGAGGGGGTTCAATCTCGTTTTTTGAGACGTCTCAAAACTCTTGTTGACTCCTCCAAAGCCTGACACGGGAATCGTTCCGTCCGTTGTGAGGGACCTCAATCTCCGAGGCACCTCAAGAATTCCCTCTGCTGCGGAGGCGCTCAAAGCATGTGCGATCCAGCTCTCCACTGCCACTCGTTGCTGCTGTTCCTGCCACTGCTGCTGTCGCTGCTGCTCGTTGTGTCGCTGCTGCTCTTCAAAAAGCTCAGCCACTGCTCGTTCCAAAGCGGGAACTTGAATAGAATTCTTTAAACGAGACGGAAGACCCGCGGCCTTATGCGGCTGGCTTTGCAAGCGAGGCGGATACATGAAGGCCGCCATAGCGGGATCTACAAGTTGGCCGTGGCGACTCGACAACTTATCGGCTTTCTGATCCGGAAGTTCTGACTTCTCATGAAGCGGACAAGGCTGGTCGTGCACAAAAGGCGAGATAATGGGGTCCTTAAGTTGCCCATGGCGCCTCAACAGCTCCTCCAAGAGACCGCTCTCCTCCTGATTCGATATCTGCGCGTCGAGAATCGGGCGAGGCTCGTACATGTTGGCTTCAAAGGTAGAGTCTTGTGCATGCCGCCCCGATAACAATGACTTCAAGCTGCCTTCCCCCAGCTTGATTCCTCCTGCTCCAGAACTCGATCTCGAAGGTCCATATCCGGCGAGTGCGATTGTCTTGTGCGTCTCAAAGTGGGCTCGCATGCTAGGGTCCTCGCCATGATGACCCATCAGCTCTCCCAAAGGGTCAGTTGCTTCATTCAGAATGCGACATCGCTGGTCCATCTCGGCAGGGTCTACCTGTCTCTCTGGTTTGCTAAGGAGGTTCCGCCGCTTGAAGGTCGCTGGGAGGACTTTCTACTGGTGTGCCACTCGAACATACAAGGCAGGCCGAAACGAGCCAAGTTCAAGAAGCCGCGTTCGAGGAGATTACGGAACGGCCCGTTAGATACATTCGACTGATCTCTGAAATTAGTCCGACACATTGAAATGGGAGTAGAAATGGGTATCTTCAACCCCCCCCTCGCTCCCCTCCGCCCATATCCGACGTGGGTGGTAAAACCAGGGCCACAGCCAGTCGCTACGATGCCAAGGAGCGAGGGGGCAGCGGGGCTTCCGGTAATCATCTCGCGTGACAAGAGTGCCGCCCATAGAAACACGGCAATGTGAGACAAGCTCCCACCGCCACGAATCCAGCTCCCACGGTCGCGAGGCAGCTCCACACTCGAAGCCTCGGTTTCATGTGAGACGAGGTTTCTGAGTTGCAACTGTGCAGCCTTGATCTGTCTTGATTTGATCGTCGCTTATTTTTCGAGGCGCCTTTAGAAATAAGTCTAGCAACTTCTGTCATGGCGAGGGCGGCGGCTGCACGCTTCAAGCGTTCTCTCGTCCATATCGAACGAACAACGAGGATATGACATGCCACATCGAACCATTGATTTGGCGTCGAACGGCGCGTCGTCTCTGCCACGCAACGCAAGGGTAACTGAGGAAGAAAATCTTTGGAATTTCATGTCCTGCGCGCATCTCATTCGCCCTGCCAGGGCGTGAGCTGGAAACACGTGAGCGTGGGTGTCACAACGATGAGAAGTGCACGGGAGCATGATAATATACGTTGGCAAGCTCACCTGACGGGCTTTCACAGGATTCGACGAGGAAATCGGAAGGGCCGAAGGCAGCTTGTCAGATATCGACACGTGTCAGCGATGCCTAATAATCCTCCAACTTAGTGTTCCTGCTGTGCTGCTCTTGCTCCCTCCTGCTCTTCCTGCTTCTCCCACGCCTTCCAGCCGCCTTTTAGTGTGGCTCATCCCCTCCATGTCACGCTGCCCCCCCCTTTCCCCCAACCATGCTGCGTTGGCGGTACCAGCTGGCAGATATATGAACTCCAGGAACGCCAGATCGGGGAAAGAGTGGGACGGACTCAGGCCTGTCGAAGTTCCTGGGGTTCGTACTTGCGCTCCCCAGCTCCTCCCAATCTGACCCTTGGTTGGGGGTAGGTGAGCGTTTTGGAGCCCTTAAGGGTCACGGGCGCACCCCAAAGTCAGAACTTGAAATCAGGGCATGTTTGAAGTTTGCACTTACACTTCATTTTACTATGATAAGTGCTGTTATGTACTTAAATTAGAAGTCAAAGACACCTAACACTACACATGTCTTAAATAGTCATAAAACCTACCTAGCCTGCAAAGTTCTTATTCTCTACACTAACTACATATATGGCATGCAGAGCTCAGCTACTCTACTCTAACCCGACATCCAATGCGAGCCTAGTTGGCAGGCTTCCTCCCCTTCCTCCCCTTATCCTCAAACAAGGCATAGGCCGCTGCCCAGTCCACCGGGTAGTCTAGCATCTTCACCGTCATCAGCTCCCCCAGCCTAACATCAGTAAGAGCAACACGATCCCACGACTTAATAATGTTTTGGCGGGAGAAGCCCCTCTCACACTCAACAGTGCTGAGGGGCAACACAGAGACCGCACGCCAGAGAGAGACTATGGTGGGATAGTCATCCTTCCAGTCTGCAGTGCGCAGCATGTTGGTGAGAGCCTGATGGAAGCTCTGCTTCTTGAACTTCTTCTCCATGGTGGCTGTGAAGAGGCGCATCTGCGGCTCTATGTCAGCAAGAGCGACTCCTGCCAAGGACATATACAAAGTTAGATTACGTCATTGTGTGAGCATAATACGTACAAAGTTAGAACATACGTGGGTTCCTTTCATACTAATCTAGGCTTACCAGGTAGCTGGTTCTTGAACATGTCCAGGAGCTCGGTGAGATGGTGCTGCAGCCATGTGTCCTGCTCTCCTGCACGGAAGGGATACTTATCAGGGGTGAAAAACCCAACACCATCGAAATGGCGCAGGTGAATCTGGTGGCGGACTTGCGAAGCTAAGGTGAACCTGACGGTAGCGGGCTGCTGACAGAGGTGTAGTCTGTGACGATGATGCTTGCTGGGCGAGGCGCGGGTCCAACACTGAGATTGCTACGTCTAGCATGTCTTCAGCATCCGAGGGTACGTAAGGCTCGGTCTCGGTCGTAGTATGAGAATGACTAACGTTCGACATGGGCAAAACTGGAGGAGGGGTTTCACCCTCGCTAGGATCCATTGTGGGAGAATGTGGCTGACGAAGCGAACGGGTTAGTTACCCATACTATAAACATCGCGTGCGTGAGCTAGGCGACGCGAGGTTTACTCGGCAGAGTGGTTGGGTGGAGGAGAAGTGCCATAGCATGGCACGTACGAGAGGGGAGGGGAGAGCTGAGGGCTTGGGTGGATGATACCGTGGAGGTGGTGGGACGGTGCGGAAGAGAAAACATGGGTGGGATGTGGTGGTGGATGGATTGCATGGTGGTGGAGAGGAATCGTGGCTCGCACGAACGAAGGTGGTGAGGGAGGGAGCTGCTGCGCTGGAGTGCTTCAGTTCCTTTGACGTGCTGTGGTTTAGTGTCTTAGATGTCTCTGTGGCCAAACAACTTAGCCAGATTTACCCAAGATAATCCCATGTGTCACAGCTGTACACTGCGGCCAGCTCGTATTGGACGCTAAGGGAATGTGCGGGTGCTCCTAGGCTGACTGAGAGACACGCTACACACACGGGATTGGCTACAAAACGCTAAGGGAAAAATCCCCTTGGCGCGCTCTAGTGCAGGCTAAGGAGAAAGAGGGGGGGGAGGGGGGGGGGGGGGTCCTACGATCTGAAACCAAAACTTAGATAAAGGGGAAGGCCTGGTTTCGTCCCTTAACGCATCCGGGCAAGGGTCGAATGAAGCACTTAGTGGCACGGGTGGGGTGCGAAACAAAAACTTGACGCATTGGAGCTGGAGCGAAACTAGCCCTTAATGTTGAGGGCATTAAGGGCATATGCCCGTCAATCGACAGGCCTGGACGGACTGTCCGCCAATGCTCGCCATTCGCCAGTGAGAAATCCTCCTCGCGGCGCTCTACAAGATGCGTGGACGAGTATGGGGTTCGCCTGGGCGGCAAGAAAGTGCCCCTTCAGTAAAATATGAGTTTGACAACTGTCAGGTCTCGTCGCCATCTATCAGTCCTATCGTGGAACAATAACCGCTAACGCTGTTCAGTCAGATCGGAACGCTAGTGTACAACATCGCCGACCAGCCACATACGACTGAGGGACGTCGTGAGCCACATCCCAATCTTCGTTTACTCCTTCCGGCCCGTGCCCTCAAAGGCACTCCTGCTTCCCGCCCCTTTTCTCGAACGAGATTATCGTGCTCGAGTCATAATTCTAAACGTTTGTGAAATTGAATGTGGGAAGGGAATGGAGAGGGTTTCGAGAAATTCAAGCGGAATCTGGTACACGTAAAAACTTGCAACAAGTATGATGTACGGTACGGTAAACGAGGTCACCGCCATGGCAGCCTGTTGCTCAGTTCGCAACTTGCGAGAGAGCCATTTCCGTCAAAAATTATTGGTGATTACACCCTATTCTCGATAATTGCACACCCCCTACCCCCTATTTCGAAGGTACCCTGTACGTTTTCTGGCTCGATGTGACAGACACCCAAAGATTGACGAGGGTAGTTATCGAGTCTCGCACTTAATTTTCCGAGTGAGTAGTAGGGGTGGATGGCTGCCATTGGAACTCTGGTTTCTTTTCTTCCATTCGCGAGAAGGTTGCGAGACTCCCTCCTCCGAAAGTCTACAATCGTTGCTTGCTACCCAACTTTAACGTTTAACCGAGAGTAATTACCCCAGGGTGTGCGCTTAAGGGGTGTGAAATTATCGAGAATAGGGTGTAGGAGCAAGAGATCAGGCCAGAAATACTATACTGTAGACAGCTGGCAAGAAGATCCTTCAAAAGCTCTGGTCAGAGAGGTTCACGTGACGAGCACACCACTATGAGCACACCACTCTGGTCATA